GCTTTCTGGGCTGCCAGTGCACACTGCCGGCTCATGGCCAGCTTTTCACCCACCAGTAGTAGGAAGTTTTGTTCCTTTCAGCCCTTGGGAAGCACTAAGGAGCAGGACTGGCATGCGATTCTCTCCCAGTGTTTTGGAGATCTCGTGCCCTCCTTCCCACAGCTCCCCACCACAGAACCGGCACTGCTGGTACTGACCGGGTCCCCACTGGCACGGCTGCCCGCCTTGCACCCTGCCTGCCACTCTGTGCTCATCATGGGGAGGAGGAAAGGAGAAGGGGAGATTAAAAAAACCCACATCTATTTCTGGAAAGCAAGTCAAACAATGACTCAATCATCTCTACACAGTTCATAAATCCCTAATTAAAGGTTTAGTGCTCCTCCCCGCTGCAGATGTTCCAGAGTCCAGCCACATTTCCAAACCTGCTTCTGCGCGTGCTTCGCCCTGCGCCGCAGCTCTCGCTTTCCTACAACACCCAAACCAGCCCCTGAGCTGCTGTGGATACATGGTCCCATCACAGCTACGATGAACTGCCTGACCCCTGACGTAAACAGACTGGATGCCAGATTGCGGTCTTTACAAGAAATATTCTCCTGTATCTGACTCTCACCACAAATCCCGACTTTATGACAGGAAAAGGATGCATTTTTCCTTTATTTTCACAGCTTAAACTACCTGCACCCTGAAGAAAAAATGGGAGCTGGTAGACATTGTCTTGCTTTGCATATTCCTTGGCCAGACGGATAAGGACTAGCTTGGTATTCGCAACCTCCTCCTGCATCGTTCAACACCAAAATACCAGCCAAGACACTTGCAGCTTCTCCCCACAACCCCCCATTTTCCCCATCATTTGGTCAAATTCAGCCAGAAGCATTCAGGCAAGCCCCCAAAATTCCTGTAAAAAGCTAAGCTCTCCTCGCCAAACACCCCCAAAGGCACAACAGGTCAGCTGCAGGGGTAGGTAGCCTTGAATTCCTGCGTTGCTAATGCAGCCCCAGCCCCATCGGCGCCCACCAAGAAGTGATGGAGGCCCAAATAACGTGACCTGCTAAACAGCAGTTCAAGGGCTGCTCTGTGCTGGGCTATTTAAAGCAACTCCAGCAGTGGCTCAGTTGTGTGTTACTCTCTGGAGAGCTCTTGAGAACTATAATAAATACCCACAACTTGACTCATTCCTTATAAAAGTTCTTCTCTCCTAAAACAGCTTTTCAGACGATTCATCTGCCCCGTATTTTTTGGGTGCTACCAGCTTCCAGCCTGCAATTACCTTCCCTGCTAACCTATCCCAGAGCAAAATCCCTTTCCTTTACAAACTGCTCCCCCCTTTTTTTTTAATTATGTGAAGTATGACAGCTACATAAAATGTTTTGTTGCCTTGGCAACTGCAATCCACTGACTTCACGCTGAGTTATAAGGAAAAGGACAGTCTTGACACTAACCAGCAATAATGAGAACAGCAAAAACCAGGGGCAAAACACTCACCAAGGCATGCAGGAGGGCTGGCTTCTCACCCAGCACCCCAACACAGAGCGCTCGAGAGCCAAGGGGCTGCGATGGCCCAGCCTTGCTCTGGGACAAAGCAGCAGTGGAACCTCGGCAGAAGTACCAGGTCTGGATTTCAAAATTAACTTTCTTTGTATAGAAGAGGTTATGGCTTGGAGAAACCTACAGAAACACAGATGCAGCCCTGTCAAAATCTGTTGTGTTTCCGCTGCCCTGCACACGCCTTTGCCTTGGAAACGGGGTTGAGCCGAGGGCACGGGTACCTTCAGTCCCTCGTACAACAGCCAAGACACAATGCAGGCTAACTTCACAGTGCATTCATTTTCAGCACTAGAAATGAAGATTTCTTCATCGTTGCACTACAGATGATTTGTGTAGTCGGGAACACGAGCTTTATGAACCGCTTTACCTTCCTGGATCCTTTTGCCACCTGCCACTACCACAGGCACCCAACCCATGCAGCCGGCTCGGTACAAACCCCATGTACAAGGTCATCTCTGTTTACATGGCAAATAGCAGAACTACCGTCAGGAGACTCCCCAGACTAATTTTGGGACTGCATCTCTGTGTCCAGCCACATTCAGTAGTGCTCATGGCTGTTACAGACCCCATAGACTATGGGGGGATAACTGATTCAGGACAGAAGATATGGACAACTCCCATACAGAGGACAAGGAAGCTGCAAAACCAGCTTTAAACAAGGAGAGTAAAATCTGGTTACATACTAATTACAGGGTGGGAAGAGCTTTTGTTATGCACAAACCCAAGCTGCCAATCTATTGTCTCCTGTGCTTCGGCACTTTCCTATAGGCGCTGGAGAGATCTGTGCTGCGCTTGGATGCTTAGCCTCACAGAAAATTGTGTAAGAATGAACAATGGATGGAGGAAATAGAATAATCAGAGCAATTTCCCATAGAAATTGGTCAGACGCATGTCTCTAATTGCCATTTCATTATTACATTTGTAACAGCCTTTCTTTTGAACTTATTACTTTGTTTCCTCTTGTACTGAATGCCCATGAAAAATCTCTTGGGACCAGATTTAAGTCATTATGAATAAATGATAAGAAACTAAATTTAGAAAGACTGGTAAGAATATTAATTTGCAAAAGAGGAAGGACCTTACCAAAAAAAAAAGTGGGAGTCCTGCAGACCCCTTTGCCACTGGTGTTCCCTGCACAGGCTGGCTTGATCCTCACCAAGATGAAAGAGAAATGGGCCTTCCTATCAATAACTCACGTGCTTTCAGAGCTCCAGAAAGCTCTGGGAATGACTGCAAGTGCCACCAAGCCTCAACACTAAAATACTGCAATCCTGTTTGGCTTGCTGGTGTACCAGGGAGACAGGCTGGGAGACCGGGAGCATCCACATACCAAACTCAGCCCTCCCCGCACCGTGTGCTGCTTCCTTCCCGACCGCCCCGTGTGCTCAGGGCAGTATTTGTCTGTACCCTGGTGCTTTGTCACCACCCCCCTGGCTTCCCAATATTTCTGCCCTGGAAGAGACACCTCCTGCCATGCACGCACAGTCGTGGCGTTGAGGGTCTTCCCCCCGATGGGCAACAATAAAGAAATGTGAATTATTGTCTCAACTCCTACCCAGATATTCCCTTCAATCCTGCGTGGTTTAATCCCACAAATCCCAAGCTCTGCAGTGAACACACTCCATTAGGCTCCTACTCCAGCTACAGGAAAAGAGATGAAGCAGAACGATCCTTGGTGCAATTTTTGTCAGAGTAAATCAGAAGAAAACATTTGGGAAAGCAGCAGATGCAGAAGGAATTATCTTTCTGCAGAAAGTAAGTGCGGAGATGACATTCTGCTAATTGCAGATGATTGAAAACCAACAGCAGAAGGTGTGGGTATGAAACAGGGGATGTGAGGCACCCTCCCGACACTGAGAAGAAGTAGCGCATCTCTTCTGCACATCCTATTTCCCATCCATGAGGCTGCTCTGATTTGAAATGAACTCCTTTATCCTTTGCAATAATTCCAGCAGCAGCAACAGCAATAATAATACAAACTCAGAAGGACTGGCAGGGGAAGGATAAATTACAGCTCTGTGCCCGGGCAGCACATCCCAGCTGCTCTTATTTCAGGTTTCTGAGGGGAAGAGCTGTCAGCTCTGTTTTCCAGCAGCAGGAGTCTGTTGCACTGGGCACAGACACCGACCCCAGTGCCAGCACTGTCCTGCACGCCGGTGGAGCAAGGATGCTCCATCAGCGAGATGTAAGAAGAGAGAAATGGAGATGAAGGCAGTAAAGGACTTGCTGAAGGTCCCAGACATCGCGTGGCACAGCCCGAACCACGTCTCGCTTGCCTGACCCCAGCCCTCTTCTCCACAAACCATCTAGCCTGGGGGGAGTGCTGGACCCCTACAGCCACTCAACAACTGCCTCTCCTTCCAGCTCACCCATCCTTTGCGAAGAGGGGGAGCGCGACCACCACCTCATTAGAAAGTCTGATGCCATCAGTTCCTTCCACTAATTGAGACCCTGACTGTGACTACACGCTCAGGCCCGGGAAGGGTAGCATTTGGAAGACATTCAAATGCTCTGTGAATAAATAGGATAGAGCTAACGTGAATAATACCAGGCATCTTTGAAGGTCTAACATCAGCCGGGGAAGGTCTGCATTTATCCTTTGGTAGCTTAAGCAAAATTAGTCATTAGGACTTATTGCTGGTTCTGATCATCCTGCCTCATCTTTCAGGCTGCCCGTAAAGCTACCTGAAGTATTTCAGTAACTAATGACACCTTTTATATCCCTCTTCTAATCTGGGCAGTCCTGAGTGCTTCAGCCTGAAACGGTTCCCAAAGCTCACATGTAAGTGTATTAAGAGAGATTAGTTCATTAATCTACTCTCTGGTACCATGTATCTTTATCACTTCATTTTAATAATTTGTACTAATTGACAGAACAGACTCCCTCCAAGTCTCAAAGTTGGGTAATACATAATTGCTCTAAATCACAGCATAAACATTTTCACTTGGAAACACCTAATCCCATTACACTCCCAATGTCTCTTCTGAGGTTTAACACATGAAAGAAGCTGCAAACTGTATGATTATGCACAAATGCTTGTGGCCTCAGGACCAGGCATCGTTAACATCTTGAGTCACTGCTGCCTACTTCTTCTTCATCCATCCCAAAGCAGCAAGCACTGCTTGGTTCGAGGAGAGGATGGGCGGATATTTGGGTTACCCAACATCCTCTAATATGTTTCAGTGGGGAGGGAGAGCAAAACTATAACCAGGCTGAGGCCACAGAGAAGAGATGTGCAAAGCTGTAGGGTATCTGTGCTGTGAACACCCGTGGAGCTGTTGTGAGAGGGAAGGAGTGCCCCTGCTCAAAAGCCGATACCCTAGGAAGGGCAAGCTGAGGATGAGGGGTGTCCCAGAGGACGTGCAGAATGGCAGCCTTGTGTGGGTGTTTCCTGAGAAGGGGGTGAGAGGAGGGGTCTGCAGGGGAGAAGGAAGGTGTTCAGGAAAGCAGGACATCCCCTTAACACACTTCAACTCTCTGGTGATGCCTGCAGGCTCCCGACCTCCCTGCCCCAGCCTGCAGGACTATCCCAGAGTCCACAGGCAAAACACAGGAAACCAGGGTGTGAAACGCTGGCAGAGGTTGCCCTGAGAGATGAGAGATGCCCCATCCCTGGAAACATTCAGGGTCAGGTTGGATGAGGCTCTGAGCAACCTGATCCAGCTGATGTCCCTGCCCATGGCAGGGGGTTGGACTAGATGACCTTTAAAGGTCCCTTCAACCCAAACCAGCTCATGATTCTACGAAACCAGGCCAAACCTCCAGCAGCGAAATGCAGTCGGCTGCGTGGGAAGCGCAGTGAGCTGACAGCAGGATCTCCCTGGGGCTTGAAATGAAGAACAAACAGCCCCCTCCGCACTGGTGAGACTGCGGGAAGCCCCTCGGGGCTCAGCCCTGCGTTTCTCAAACTGGAGGTGCCTCCGGTATCGGTGTCTGCAGAACACCCAGAGCTCCCCAGATGACAGGGTTATCTGACTGTAAAGCATTATATACGCGCTCATCCAGGCACGCAGATGGACCGGAGGCTACGGGGAAGAGCACGAAGATACCCACTTGGTCTGATGCTTGGAGCCCTTCAGGTGCGCGTGGTATTGCTCTATCGAGTTCAGGGTGACGTTGCAGATGTTGCACGTGTAGCTGCGCTTCAGCCCTGCGAAACAAAACCAGAGTCGTTAACGGTGCGCTGCCCTCAGCACCGGCTGGCCGCTTCGGTGAGGGCAAGCTCGGGGCTGCACCAAGAGGAAAACCACCTTTGGGCCAAGGCAACAGACTATTTGAGTCAAAACAGCAGCTGGAAGGTACAAATGAGTGGAAACGACTGAAGAAAGGCACAGGGAAATCAAAAAAACCCAACAAAACCATTAATCCTCGCCCCCAGCAAACTTCTAATTAACTCGAAGGTACTCAGATCTCAGATTTCATTTCCAGTTTCCCAGACATTTCTCTTTACAGCAACCCATCTATTTACTTTTCCAGGCCAGGGTACACAAGCATTAGCGATGATTAAAGAAATATTTTTAAAAGGCTCAGACTGAGCAGAACCAAGCAGGGTTCAAAGGCAAATCCCTCCTGGAGACCGCGGTCCCGGCAGCTCGTCAGCGCGGGCATCCCTCTCCTCTGGCTTCATAAAGCATCGCTGCGCTGACTAATGAGCACACCAGACCCCGGTTATTCCTCTGGCTTTTTGGTAGCGAGCACAACACAGGGCAATTCCTCATTAGTGTATTTAGGAGCCAGATCACTTAGAAACCCTTTTTTCCCCCCCAAGGGATCCACTCTGATTTATCCAACGAAGCGAACGGTGGTGTCTGCCGAACGCAGCCGCTGATGCCCGAGAGCCAGCGACTCGTCTGAAGGTCAGAGCCGGAAGCCCGGTGCAGGGACCAGGTGTCCACCCGAAGGCTGGAAGCCAGGAGCTCATCTGCCTGCAGCACTGCCGACAAGAGCATGATAATGAGGGAAGAGCCACCTCTCTCTGCACGCAACCCAGAAACGTCTCCAAACTGCGTTCACCTACTTGTGGCGTAAGGTAAAAAAAGCCGGAGACAAGAGGCGATTTATGGATATAATAAAAACTGCTCATTTAAAAATCGTACTGGCTTTTACATTGCTACCAAAGTTCAGTCTTTTACTGGAGATTGATACTCGGGCTGGGACAGTTATTACAGCTTTTCTCCCGATGCCATCCTTCCCACTCCCTGTTATTTCAGACCTTCCAATACAGCGAATTGTCCTGGGTAAATCTCATGGAGAGAGGAAGAAGGTCAGGATTAAGGAAGAAGTCCAGAGTTATGGGTGCAGTCTCTGTATAGTGCAGCCTGAGAAAAACACCTGCCTGAGGTGCCCAGAGAGACACAAAAAATGCTATTCTCAACACTATTTATTGTACTAAAAAGGAAAATTATTTATTCCTCATTTAGCAGTTTGCATCTCAGAATTATCATTTATTGACTTAAGGCTGAGAGTATTTTCAGTTCTCAGCAGGACAAAGAAATCCAGCCTCTGTCGCCTCTGAAAAGCTAAAAATCTAAAAATAGGAACCCAGCAGACAGGCAGCAATAAGAATCAGAGGTGAAGGAGAAAAGGCCGTTTCCCAAGGCAGCGTGCTGCCCAGTGGCTGCTGAAAATGGCCAATATTATTTTTGAATCGTGTTGGTTTGGATTTCCTGGGAAAACACAGAGTTTGGTCCATTTCTGAGGCTTTTATTCTTAGTGCCCTGGTGCACTCCTCCCTCCCTCTGCAGAGTTCATTAGCCTGCTTAGCACACACTAGATCAAGTCATTATTTACACACTGACGTTCTATTTTGCTCTTCTATACAGGTTTTCACCCAAAACATCCCCCAATGACTTTTGCAATCACAGGAGAACATGTTGCTGCCAGGGAAGTTCCTCCACACCTGCAAAAGCTGCAAAAGCAGATTCGATTCATTTCTTTCTCTCTTTTTTTCATTTCTTTCTCCTTCCATAAGGAAGTGACCTGTGCCAAGAGACAGCCACTAGCCGCGTCCCAAATCTACTTTTTGTGGGAGAAAGGAGAAGCCTCTTTTAGGAACTACGACAACAAAACCAGGTCCTTGCCCTTCTGCAACACCCAACATCCCCGGTGCCGGGGCACCATCCCAGCCGCCGGCGTCCCCTCGACAGGACCAGGGTGGCATCAAAGCACTGGGGGGTCAAAACCCAGACCCCAAACACAGGGAGGCAGCTGCACACACTGGCAGCATCCCGGGCGGAGGAGCAGCCTGCCCCGTGCCGACGGCATCACCACGACGGCACAGTTACGGTAGGTACGGTAAGGAAGGGCTGCATCCCTCTGGGAGCGTGGCGGGCAGGAAAACAAAACTCCTTCTGGTTTCTGCAAATGGAGCAAACCTGGCAACGAGACGGGGGGGTCAGTACAAATCAGAGCGTGGCAGAGTCCCCGTGGCAGGACGGGTCTCTCCTCTCTCGGCAGTGTACCTACAATTTAACTCCATTATTCTTTCACCTTGGGAAAAGAGTACAGCTATTTGAGAGCAGAATTACAGAAACAGTCACTTCTCTGCCTCATCTAACATGTTTTCACCGAAAAGACAGAGTGGTGCTGAATGTACATTAAACGCCTGTTTCCCTCCCGGACATCCCTGAAAGAGAGAGACGGCGAGCTGAGGGCTCTTACTCCTGGTATGTAGGGCAAAACCTGACGTGAATTAAGCATATAAATGCAGACCTAATGTTCCCAGTCCCCTGATGCTGTTGTCTCCCTTAGAATGATCGGAGAGTGATTTCTTCTCTCCTCCTCCCTTTTGTATTTTAACATCCCAATAATTCCCTTGGCATCGCAGGCTGCGTTAGCATCGCTTACATCACACGTACAGCGGCATCACAGTAAACTGTCGATGCCGAAGCGATTTCTGTCCTGTCCTCCTAGGAAAAAAAGGGAATGGCAAATTTTAGAGTCTCTCTGGTGGGTTTCTGCTTTGCACTGATTCACTTCCATGAAGATGTGAACGGAGCGTTTCCAGCTTAATTGAAGGGCTCCGCTTAAAAATACCAGAGTTGTGGGATTCTCACCACGGGCTGCTGCGCTCTTTAGGAACAGTTTTAATGTAGCGTGTAATAGTCTCTTTTGACTTTCCACAGCATTATTTCTTTGCAGAAATTGTTAAAACAACTCATTTAGAACAAGTGATGTACGGCGTTCTCCAATTGGATTGGTTTATGCTGCCCGTAATTAACTGCACAGGCCATACACACACTTCCCCTTCCCCAGACTCCCAAAAAATCGCTCTTCCTTTGGTGAGCTTCAGACACCGGCTCTGCTAACAGTCCTGCCTTTCTCCAACACCTCATACATCTCTCACCCAGGGATTTGGCCCAACATAAAGCGTCTTCTTTAAAAAACATTGAGAAAGGCGTCGGATGAGCACCTGAAAATAGCAGGAATAACACAGAAGTATCTCAATAGTCACCTATATTTTTATGTGCTGTGCTGTGGAACAAAAGTGCAAGGTCCTGCACCTGGGT